ATATAATATGTAATAACTACGAGTACTGACAATTTGAATATATTGAAATGGCACCTACACGTTTATTGCTATTAGGTATCTGTTCACACAGATCGGCTTAAGAACATCAGAGGGAACTCTTCTAATCAGATAGACTTACAGCTTGACACGCAAATTACATGCCATATTGGTACATATATTATATTAGCCACCTCAAGAATCGTACAGTCGTTTAACAATCATACTTATGCTTTAAGAAAATAAATATTTTAAATAAACGTAATTTCATTGATATAAAACTATCTGATCAAAATGTGGTCTTCTCTCCGAGCCGCCCTGTACGAGTATGAACGGACACTAAGACGGGGATAAGCTATATATACAGCTACTATACGATACGAGTTTTACTGGCTATACTATCTTAAATAACATAATGATAATAATATAATAATATTCCGAATAACCACCTAGTTAAACACCGTTTTCAAATTAAAGTAAAAAAAACTTATAAGCTCATTTTACTTTCGTTTGATAGAAGTTAATAATTTAAGCGTATACAAATCCGAATCATTGAACGATTGTATTGGGGTGAGGTGCTCTGTCTAATAAAATAAAAAAAGGTCTTGTCCTTGCGGCGTGTGACCTAGTTCAGTTCGAGTGGGATTACAGGAGGGACCAAATGTTTTGCCCATCAGAGTTTAATGCGTTCCTGGCGGTCCCTACTCATCCCGTCCGAAGCCAGCTAATTAGAATCTATTTTCTCTTGTATTCCGGACCACCTGTTTAGATGAAACTACAGCTTTGTAGTGATTTAATGCTTCGTGTTCTTTGAATAGAAAATGAGTAATTTCTTTTATACCTATTGTTTTTCATATTGTTGTTTTGTAAGGAACAGTGATCGTGATTATTGCACTTGCAAAAAGTAACACAAACATTCATGAATCTATTTTCTTAGCTTTTTCATGATCGCCAAGAAGTAAAAGTATAATTTACTTATTATTTTTTGTGTGATTGATTTAGGCTTAATTTGTATTATCGCTGTTTTTTATTATTCTTTTAATCAATTGATTCTTGATTATAGAATAATTTATACCTAACAATATATGTATGTAAGGTTGAAGCTTCAAACCTCAGATCTGTAGAATTAGTAATATGGATGTATTGGTAAAGACTTACAGATAAAAAAATAACATGTGAAATTATTTATTTATCTTATTTGTGTGAAACCTAAGTAACCTTACTAAAAAATTTAAACTAAAAATCTGAAAAAAAATTGTAAATGTGTTCCTATATCCTTCAGAAATTGTGAATATATATGCGATACGTATCAATACTGGTTTTAAAAGAAAAGTCAAATAAAACGTGTTGTGTTTTTAACATTAGTCGAATTACACATAGCTGATATATTATGAACTGCTCTATGGATCTGGAGTTACAAACTTGAAACTGCCAAAAATTAAAGTTTGTAGCTCCAGCGGTTTAGGCAAATATTACTACCAAATAAAACGAAGTTTCTTATGAATTTCCAACCTCCATGTTGCACCATTAGGGGTGGAATTTTTACCACTTTTCTTAGTGCACACCTACGTTACCTGAGAAACATTTGTGCAAAATTCCATGCTTCTAGATAAAGCGGTTTCAGCTGTGCGTTGATCGATCAGTGAATCAGTTTCTTCTTTTATAATAATACTAATAATAATTTATTTCAGAAATATTTCTTTTCCATATTTTGTTAATAATAATTTGCTAACATACTAATGTTAGTATAAGTTATAATAATAATAATCAAAACAAAAGCAAATTGAAAAACAATTCATATTACAGCATGTAACCGCATCCAACGGCGCATCATCGGCGTCTCCCACCGATCTGTGAACACCCTTAGGATGGTGTTGGTACTGCCGCGAAGACGCTTTATCAGGGAATCACACCCTTTTCTAATTATGGGTGCAAAGCCGTCAACTTGTGCCTCTGTAAACATAGCTGATGCGCTGCACCTCCACGACAGCCCCAACAGCATTATTGTATTGTACACGCAGGTCGCTGTATGCCCACCCAGCATAACTTACCCACAAGCTATACGTTAGAATGCATGTAAATATATAAATAATTTAATCTTTACTGCATACGTACATCGTGCAAACCTTCGAGCCAGTATGTTACAACGGACAGCCAGCGACCTGCGTTCCCTGTCTATGTCTAGGTTGTCACTTAAATCTTCTGTGACCCAGTTGCCATAGTACTTGAACTTATTAACCCTAGATAGAGGTACGCCAGAGAGTAATACATCAGGTATAGTTGTGTAGCTCTTGTTACTTGATTTAAAAACTAATAGTTCACTCTTCTTCACATTGTACCTGAGCCCATGAGCCACCGCATACGATTCATAAATAGAGACGAGTCGTCTCAGAGCACCGATTGATGGGCTCAGTAACACTACGTCGTCTGCATAACTGATATCATTTATATAGACCCCATCTATATGATACCCGACATTAGTGTTGCTAATCTCAACAAGCTGATTGATGTACAGATTGAACAAACGGGGCGAGCTTAATTTATATATATAGATTTTCATTTACCTTCATATGCGGCAAGACTAAATATTTTGGAGTTCAAAAGTAGCAGGACTGAAAAATTCTGAGTCTAGTGGTTTTTTTGATTTATTGATGATTACTAGGGTCTGATGTTTTTTTTTACTGTGAAACCTAAATCATATTGATACCTAAAAGTAGGCTACTTTTTAATTTAATAATGTTCTTTCAAGCTAAACATTCTCTAATTTAAAAGATACTTCTAATATGTTCTGAAATGTCCTAAGTCTGGTCGTGGAAGTGCCGGCAAATTGGTCCAACTATTATGGAGATCAGCCGGATAAACAAAATTGAAAGGTTGTCTTGGCTTTGAAATAGTACAAATGATCACCCATGTAAGATAAAGATTAAAAGAAGCTTATAATATATAGCTTTGGAAATATAGGTTTTATGTTCAAAACCTATATTTTAAAATCAGACAGACAAATTTAATAAGATGATGTTTAATAAAAAAATGTTGCAAGTGTTAATTGTGCAAGTGAGGGAACTAAAAATTACCAAATTTCATCAAATTCAATTTTACTATGGTAATGATGTTACTCGAAATCAAAAAATGGTCCAGTCACAGATTTACCGTTGCAGTGCGGGCGAAGGCACACAATCAAACAACTAACAGCACGAGCTGAATAGGAAATAGCGTAATGCAGAGAAGAGGATACTATTCTTGAATGATTACCGTACATGTGATGAGCAAGTTCTTTGCGTGTCTGGATTAGAAAGTATTACGAGAATTTTAACAGATAAGTATTTTAATGCGAAAATTAATCTAATCTTTTTTATCAGCAGTCTGGTTACCAACTCTGGAATCAGACGACCGTGTGTGTGATGTGTAAAGTTACTATATGAATTAATGAATGAATATGAATGAAATATAAAATGTTATGTCAATCACAATATATGCAATGGCTCAAAAATAACGCCCGTCGCTATGCAGTGTTTGTATGATTCAAATAAAGCACACACAATTGTCAGTCGGGTTACTTCCAGAATAAGAATGTGCTAGGGACATTCTTATTCTGGAAGTAACCCGACCCGCATAGTAATATCGGAGGCGATTTAAAAATGATATTTTTTATACCCCACCGACTACGTTTTTTTTATGGTAGAGGGGGCAGACAAGCAGACGGGTCCCCTGATGGAAAGTGACCATCGCCGCCCATGAACGTCTGCAACTCAGGAGTCACAAGTCACGCTTCTGCGAATGCTGGATGCAAAACCCACGATCTCGTGATAAGATTTAATAAGATTATTATTATTAGATTCTATTTGTTAAGATCGCTAACCGCTAGACCAACAGGACAGTAATTTCCAACAATCCAGTTTTGTATTGCCCGTGTGTGGTGTCTGTGGTATTGCAATCTGAAAATACAATTGTAAAATAACGCTTATCAGCGTGAACACTGCTTCTCTTTTTCTGGTTTCTTGATGTTGGTTAAGTGTTGTTTGTAGGTGTAAGCTACTTGAAACATTAAGTAAGTTATCTAATTTTAGAAATTTAAATAACACTGCAAAGAGAAGGAAAACTTGACACAAACCCTATACCAACCCGTCTGGCCAATATAGTAGAGCAAACCACCTTTGTAAGGAGAGACCTATGTCTAGCAGTGGACTATTATAGGCTGTTGAAGATGATAAAGTTTTTCTAATAAAAAGTTTTGTGTATCAATAACTATGTTAAACGAATTATTAAATCAGGTTTAAAAATCAAAAACTATCGGTAGAGCTATACTTACCGGTTTAGCTAATCACGATTTAAATGTTTGCAATGTGCAGAAAACTCGTCTTATTGTAGTCCGGTATTGCGATCCTAACCAGTATATACCTATTCAATGTTTTCGTAAAGAAGTTTACGACAACTTTAAAAAAAAAACTTTAGAGTGTATTGTGCTTGAGGAGTTAAACCACTCAGAATACACATTTGAGTTAGTTGGCACAATATAGACGAAACAGCCAGATCGCATCGCTTGCGCCTGAATTCCCGTACTGAGTATGTATGGATACAGGCAAGCTGCAGCACCGAAGCTTCCACACGTCCTACGTCATGAAATGAGAATTAAATTGTCTGTGAAGAATACAACTGGATTATCATTTATTCCTATCAAACTCCAGTTTGTTCAAAATATTTTGGTAACCATCCATTGCGCTGTTGTTTCCGTTGCACTGTAAAGCATCATCGTTTGGGTAGCAATAAACACACAACAAATACTATTAGTCTGATACACGCAGGCTCTAGTCGACTCGTATTGTGGCATTCGTTGCAATGCAGCAGGTTATAACTTGGCACGCTCCCCGCGCTCTAACTCAAATAGCTAAATAATAAAATAAAAGGTTAACGCAAAACTGCTAAATTTAAGTTAAATATTTATTTTTTAAATAATGTAATTTACCTTTTACGGTATCGAATTGTAACAATGATGTTATTGTCTATTAATCGAAGTAATCAAAATGATGAAATTCGTGATGAAAATATGATGGCTTATCAGTTTCGACACGCTTAGAAAAACTTTGTTTTAAACTTGGCATGTCCAATGGATACGTGGCTTCAAATAAGTAATGTTGTTTGTGTTGATCAGAAAAATAATTTAAGTTATTGTAGTGAATCAATGTCGATTTAGATTTATCAGGTAACTTACGATGTTTTGCGGGTAGTACATTAAATTTTGCAAGAAGTTCAGGATAGTTATTCAATCCTGACTTATTTATGTTGGGATTTATTACAACGGGATTTCTTTTAAGAAATTTCAAATATTCTCCTTGAGATATTTTTAATTTTGTATTCATTTTGTTGTTTAAAGGTAAATATTTTATAGAACTGTTATTTGAATTATCGCTATCTAATGATTCATTTCTTGTCATAATATTCATTACTGGCTGATCAGATAGTTTAGCAGTAAATACTCTTGTGGGCATAACATTGGAGACTTTTGACATAGGCCAAATATTTTTAGTTTCATCTAGGAAATTAGCCGTATTACTGTTTAGTGTTTTCTGATGTTCTTTTGTTAAATTTGATGATTTTATGGCCCGTGCAACATAGTTATCGGATGCTTCATGCATTCTCCTGAAATGATTTTCGAGTTTTATGTCTCTTCTTGGCAGTAAATTAACGTTAAAGCTAACCTCTGACGGCTTTGGATAAATATAGGTGTTATTCAATTTAGGATTGTCTTTTTGTACAGATGTTAATAGATTTTCTATATCTTGTAAGCTTAATGGTTTCGCGGTACTTGCAAACGTATTAACCTCATCTTCCAAGCTAAAAAGATTGTCTTCTTTGTAAAAACGTAAGCTTGACAAGTAAGATTTTAGTCTTGACAAGGGTGACCTCACAAATCGCTCCCAATAAGAGCGAGGCGCGTATCTGTTTTCATTTAATATAGAGTTGATTGATTCTTGTAGACTATTTGCTTTTGGTGCATCTGTTGCCTTATTTAGTAACTTAACGTCTTTGTTACGTATCAAAGAAGCTATTTGTCTTCCTAGCTTCATAAAGTATTCGTCGCTCTGGTCTTTTATAACTGAACCTCTTGGCGTAACGTTTTCCTCATCATAATGAATGATTGGGATTTCTTTATCGTATATTCTACGGGTTTTTTGTAAATTTTCCATTTTTTTTTCATTAATATTAGAGAATAACGGTGGTATTTCAGTGCTATTTAATTTTGCTCGATGTATAAGCTGTGATAAATATTTAAAATTAACGTCATTTAAATTCCGGTCTATTTTTTTTTTATTTACATGTTTTGGCATGTGATCTGGTACATCAAGGGCATCACCAAATAAATCAATATTTTCATCTGAAGCATTTGCGTCATTGTCACGGTGCTTTTGTTTATTCTTCTTCATTTTTAATCTCTCTTTTAAAGTATTTATCTGTAAATTTATAAAAGTATAAGTAACAATGTTTGGATTATGAAATTGTATTTCATTTTAAAATATTCTTACTAATTGCATTCGCTCCATCTGCTTCGTAAGGTGTACACTGAAACGTTAAAAAAGTATAAAAAAACAACAGTCAGTAAATTTCAGGTTCTTGGCTCTCTCAGGCGTTTGACTAAATCGAACCAAGATTGGTTTAATTTAACCATAGAATTGTTTCGTTTATTACCGCTCTGAATAGTTCGTAGCAGTTAAGTAGTATAAAAAACCCTTGAGGATCACTGTGGACGTGTGAATAATAGTCAAGAATACGTTTCATGGTTTAAATAAAAAAGACTAGATATTTTTGTTTATTTATAGCTTTGTGCGGATCAATGATATTTTGTTGAAATGCCTTGGCAATACTTTAAAGAATTTGTGCCATTTTGATTAGACTTTGTTGCATTAAAACAGTACTGTACCTAGGTTCTAGATCTCTAGATCGCATCAAAAATAGTTCTTCAGAATTCATTGTAGGTGCCGGTTTGCTCTGCTTCCGAATTTTAGACTTGGAGCGTTTGCCACTTCTAAGAGTGTTAGAGTCAGGCACGGTTGTTTGATCTTGTTCTTCAGTTGCCGTGTTAGGCTCACTTGAAGACTCTTTGGTTGCAGTGGTTGCATCGGTGGAACCCTCAGGCTTACTTGTAGCATTCTGGCAGTTGTTGTCCTTTTCTATACAAAACAATAATAATATTTAATATAATCAATTTACTCACTAAACAAATTATTAGAAGCCAAAACCAAAAGTCAAATAAAATTTAACAAATATGAGAAAAAGTAATTTTAAATTATTATCAGAACTTGTCCAAACCTATAACAGGAAGAAACGGAGCCATTGGAGGTACTGGTACCATAGGATACATAGGCAGAATCGGTGGTGGTGGCAAACCTATTGGTGGATAATAAGGTGTATCCATATTTGGCAAGAAAATAAATGATGGTAATGGCGGACGTGGCCTTCTATTAAATATTATAACTTTTTTATGACCGTGATCTCTATCATCTTTCTCATTTTTGTCTTCGCTACCGGCACTTTCGGAACTTGAGCTGCTGCTTGTTGAAGCATCTTCTTCAGATTCAGACGCTGATTCCGAATCAAATAAACTATCGTCTTCTGTGATGCGAAGCAATTTTCTTCTCAAGCCGTGGACTTTCGACTTACTTTTCTTACCTCTGCTCTTCGAAGACTTACGGGATTTACTTTTTTTTTTACCTTTTTTTGTATTATTTCCAGCTTCCATGTTTTTACGGCTGCTTCGAGTATTTATACCATCATTATGTTTAGGTTCATTATCAATGCTAAATATGTCGTTCATATTCCTTCTTGTCATAGGTTTGTCATCGTTTGTTTTATTTATTACCTGAGTTTCTATAGTTTTGAAAAATTGATTATATAGCCATTCACCTATATCGTCGGTATCTTTAGACATTTCATCAATCCGGTCATTTACAGTATTGGTAGTAGTTTGTGTTGGAATATTTTGGGTTAACGGTGGTGTGTTTATAGGATAAACCCGGTTAGGATCTAACATAAAACGTCGCTTGAAATCTTCGGACAATTTTAAACTGAAAATAAAAGAGCATTGTTATAACTACGTACTACGTCTGACTAGATAAGTCAGACGCTTATTTGTGAGTAACGTGTTGAAAATAGGAATTTATTATTTACAAAAGGCTTTGTGCCTTTGTGATGGAAGTGCGCGAAGTAGATGATGTTACCAGAAATAAAATAGCAGATACTTTTTGGGGTTGTGTATTGTAATCGTCGCTTTGCTCTTGAACGATCTGATCAAGTTCCACAACAAGTTATTATTACGTGGCGTGAGTACTTGAATATTTTTCAAAACTCGTGTATAAAGAACGGTACTGTATAGTTACTTTGGTTCACATATTTTCGTTTCCGTATCAAAGTAGTAGCCTGGATGACAATGGCATCCAATCACACAGCCGGGAATGCCATCGATACAATATTCAAATTTACCGTGTCTCCCACATTCTGTAAATGATACTAGAATAATTATTATTAGATAGAAGAAGCAAGATAAACAATTTTTAGATGTCTAAATTCTTTCATACTACCTTACTATGTACGTATATATACTTTGCAATATGCGTCTGGAAAGCCGTTTGAAGGGAGTAAATAGCTTTGATCAAGAAGTCCGTTGATGGTTATAATGAACATCATGTATAAAACAGTTAGTAATAGCCCAACCTCTTAGACTTATCAAATTAAACTCTTTGAGCCCAAATCTAGGGGTTTCAATAGTAGCCACTGTAGAATTAATTTCCCAAACCCTTGTTGAATCATCAGATGAACCCCAAAACGCTAAGTTACAGTCTGTCGGCCAAAGTTTTATTTCGATGCGATAATAAAAGGTAGGTTAAAATTGGCTTAAAATTTTTGTTACAAACAGAGTTATAAATATATAAAACAATTGTTTTACCATATCGCGATGCTGCTTCCATAGAATTAGTATAACATTGTGGGACCAAAAACGTCAACGATAAACACAACAAAACTGAATAAACCATTTGTGAGTTTGAAAGAATACACAAATACAAGAGCAATGGCAAACAGACGTTATCATCCACTTGTTTAGTTTGTTTTAAGTTGTAACACAAGTAGAGTAATTAAACTTTTGTTTTCACTATCTGATGGTTTTTCGTAGATTTTTATTATTATTTACGTGTCACTTAAAACATTATAATATTTACAAAATAAGTATGCTCGTCTATTTGAAAACTTGGTTACAACTGGAAAAATCAGAGGCATTATATCTAACAATGGTGCACTTATACGACTTATTGATCAGAACTAAACAATGGGTGCATTGAAATGATAAGTAGGTTAGTGCCAGCTGGGTTTTACTTCAGGTTGTTTTTACAATATATTTGGTTGATTCTTTGTTATGTATCTGTGTGATGGTGAATATTCTAACACTGATAATAATAATCCCAATGTGATTAAGTTAGATAATCAGAATCTTAAAATATACACAGAGAAATGTCCAAAAAGCAACAATCATGACCGACTTATAATCCTGATTCATTGATTCACAGTCTTATACTATTTATAAAACGGTTATATGGTTTTATAAAGGTTCGGTACTTTAAAGAGACTAGGCGTAATACACCTACCCATGCCAAAGTATATGAGTACCTAACTTAAAACATATTTGTGGGTGTATTAGTTTTTCTCATCGCCATTTCTTTATTTATATTATTGTGTTCACGGTTAATACTTCAGTAATTCTTGCTAACCATAATATCATTGAAAAAGGGAAGCCTCAGTATGAGGCTACTTTGCACAACGTATTTGATATTTACGCATGTATGTTATACTGTACTGAGAGCTCAATCGGGGCATGGCACACATAACCAATCGGTTTTAACCTAAACATACATATACTATAAAGAGTGATTTTGGCGGTCATTTATTTATATTTCAAAATAATAAATACTTAATTGTCTTAACAGACCATTGATGAATTTCCATTAGAGTTTTAGTAGGACTTCGGGCACATAGGCGCACCGGACCACTTTAGGTAATGATGCGCAATCAATAGGTTAATTTTTTTACCGGTTTATGAGTGTGAACATTGATTGATGAAGACGGTGAATGTCTAAATAGTTACTTTGCTATAGTTTCTACAACGTAGGTGCTTTGCTAATTTCACCTTCATATGTTTACAAACTTCCATTCTAAGGAGAGGCCTATGTCCAGTAGTGGACTACTAAAGACTGTTGATTTGTTTACAAAGGAAGGATTCCATAGACGTTATGTCGCACGATCTGATCTCCAATTCACATAACAACGTTGCCCCCAACAAAGTGAAAGCTTCTTGCGCTGTTTATCATGTAGCGTCGTCTTATTGAAACCAAAGCTGGTGTATAAAAAAGTCGATTAATAAACAAAGAAGTAACCATTAATCCTGAACGAAAAGTAAACTTGCCCACTTCATTAGAACCAACCGATGCTGAAAGATGGCTGAAATCTTATTAAAATACTAATTGCATAAAACAATCCCTTGGACAAAATCAACATCAAACCCTCGATACTATTTTCATACATTTTATATAGGTATTTTTAGAATGAAATCTACAAAAAATTGCACACAATTGCAAACGCAAACGTTTGTAATGCCAAGTCGAATGATTCAACTTATACTCGAAGGTAAATAGTATATTAATTAGAGTACTGACTAATAAGGGTATTACATAAATATAAAGAATTGGAATTTGTTAAAATAATTTATTTGTTACTAATTTACAATTAGTTTATCATTTATAAATTACTAATTATACTCAGCTCAATAACAATTAAATCTCTATTTGTCATTATAAATCTTCACCGAGGTCAGGAATTCCTTTCAGTCCTCTGTAAACATATGGATTTTTTTAATATTATAATAAGGATATACATATCAGGAATTAAATATTAATAATAAATTAAATATTTAAAAAAATATATTTTTATTTTAACCGTCTGTCCGATACATTTCGTAATCTAAGAACTTTATTTCCTAAAATTCATTTCATTATATTTCAGTCTTGCCTACATAAAAATTGCAATATCTCGGATGTTCGGATACCTTTTATGAAATAAGTTAGTTACTGAAATGATCCAAAATGATAGTATACACCCATCAAACTGAAAAAGTTGAATTTGAAAATATTTCAGTTATTAATGTATTCGAGTGAAATTAAAGAATAGAGAACGACATGATTTTAATTTATACTTTAATAAATATTGCTATTCAAATAACACTGTAGTTACATATCTAATCGTCTGTAAAGCCACATAATTGTTTTATAAAACATATAAATAAATATTGCAACATTCAAGCAATATTTGAAAAATGAGCCAATTCAAATTTGTGAAAACTCTTAGGAGAATGTATAAAGTACGACTCAGGCGCCGGAGGTTACTGAACGGTCTCCTTCCTCCATGAGCGCAGGCCTGGGTATTACAGGTGAGGTCATCTGTCACCCAAAAGCAGACCGATGGTTGACCCGCTGCTGAGCGCTCGTGTTCTTTCGGGGGTAGAAAAGGAACATCGGGGTTCGCAAACAGCAGGGGGTAATCTACAAGCCCGGGGTACGTCGGGGTACCAGTGATTTCCTTTTTAGGGTACACCTGGCTCCCGGGCTACTGGTGCCCGAGACGGCGTGTGGTTTTTCGGATGACACTTTAGTCACGGCCCGGGGGGCTAGCTTCCAGGAGGCGGCGCGCCTGGCTGCCACGGGAGTTTCCCAGGTGGTCGGGCGCATTGAGGCGTTGGGATTACGGGTGGCCCTGGATAAGACGGAGGCCCTATTATTCCATGGGCCCCGTCGTGGTCCACCCGCCGGCGCCTCAATCGAGGTCGGCTCGGTCCTCGTACCGGTCCGGGCCCAGATGAGGTACCTGGGTCTGGTCCTAGACGGTAGGTGGCTCTTCGACGAGCACTTCCGACAGCTTGGTCCGAAGCTGGTGGACACTGCCTCCGCCCTAGGGCAACTTTTGCCCAATTTGGGCGGGGCCAGTGTTCCCACGAGGCGGCTGTACGCGGGGGTTGTCCGGTCCATGGCGCTTTATGGAGCACCGGTGTGGGTGGCGGCTCTGACCGCCCCGAATAGGGCGCGCCTCTGGCGCCCCCAGAGGATATTGGCGGTCAGAGCCATACGCGGATACCGCACGGTGTCCACCGAGGCGGCTTGCGCCTTGGCCGGAACACCCCCGTGGGATTTGGAGGCGGAAGTGCTCGCCGAAGTTTATCGGCGAGTGGCTGACTTCCGGGCGGAGAGCGGATTTCGCCTTCCGCCCGAAGACGTGCGCGAGTGGCGCGAAGCCGCTCGCCGAGCCACCATGGTCAGATGGTCGTTCCGACTGGAGACTCCACGCGCTGGCTTCGCCGCCGTGGAGGCTCTCCAGCCGGTCATCGCCAAGTGGGCAGGGCGGCAGCACGGGACCCTTTCCTTCCGGCTGACGCAGGTGCTTTCCGGGCACGGTTGCTTCGGAAAGTACCTGTACTCGGTCGCTAGGAGGGAATCGAGTCCCGCCTGCCACCACTGCGACTGCAGTGAGGATTCGATCCAGCACACGCTGGCGGTTTGCCCCGCATGGGCGACGCAGCGCCGGGCCCTCACTGCAGTCATCGGAGCAGATCTCTCGCTACCGGCCGTAATTCGCTCCATGGCCGGTAGCGACAGTTGTTTTACCGCGGTCGCAACCTTCTGCGAGGAGGTAATCTCGCAGAAGGAGGCAATCTCGCAGAAGGAGGTGGCGGAGAAGGCCCGGGAGGACGACCTCCATTCGGACCTGATCCGCCGCCGGCGAACCGTGCGGCGGAGGCGCGCTTACCTGCGCCTCATGCCGCCCTGAGTGTGGCCGCGGGTGGACGGGATGGGTTCTCCCCACCACCCGCATTAGTTGGCCAGCCGCGAGGGGGCGGCGTCCGCGTGTGCCGGACGTCGCCTAAAGAGAGGGTCCACTGAGACGGAGCCCGCATCAGGAGCGGGCCGGCGTTGGGAGGGGTCCAGAAGGCGATAACTACCTGGACCCCTCCTAAACTGGAAGCGCAAAGAGGGCACACCGTGTGGTTTTAGTCGGTTCGAGTCCGACACACCGCCCCGCCGAACGAGAGCCCCGGCGGGGTGACGGTCCGAGGGGATTTCCACACGTAAAAAAAAAAAAAGGTCAGGTTAGGTACCCTTCGGGTTGATTTTCCCCCTGACGTGCTGGCTACTCCACCGTGGAGGCGCTCCAGCCAGTTATCGTCGAGTGGGCAGGGCGGCAGCATGCGACCTTTTCCTTCTGTTTAACGCAGGTCCTTTCCGAGCACGGCTGCTTCGGGAAGTACTTTCACTCGCTAGGACGGAATTGAGTGACTGTCACCACTGCGGTGGCAGTGAGGACTCGGCTCAGCACACGCTGGCAATTTGTCCAGCTTGGGCGTCGCAGCACCGGGTCCTTTTTGCAATCATCGGAGGGGACCTCTCGCTACTGGCTGTCATACGCTGTAGTGACGCAGAAGCAGGCCAGGGTGGCGGCGAGCGCGTTGCGAAGCGCGCTCACTTCCAGGGAGCAGAGGGAACATGGGGGAGGTCGTCTACCTGTTGTTGTAGATGGCCCGAGGTATGACGGGGCACCAGGGACTTCCTTTCTGGGGTACACCTGGTTCCCCGGCTATTAGTACCCGAGACAGCGTGCGGTTTTAGTCGGTTCGAGTCCGACATGCCACCGATAGGTGGTATCCGAGGGGATATCCGAACGGAAAAAAAAAAGGATGTCTTAATGGTAGCAGTTCCCGGATCTCTCCTATTACAGGCGCAGAGTGGCACACCCGCCGTAAACCCCGTTGGGGTGACGGCCCGAGGGGGTTTCCACGTACAACAAAAAAAGTGTACTATATATATGAGGCGCCAGTGCGCTCCCGGGAGGATGATCTCTTTTCCGGCGGCGGTGGTGCGCCTTCGGATATCTTAATTACGAGGCATGCCTTTTAAGTTTTGTCGTTTGAAGAAAAAAAACACAACTATAGTTAAACCGCCGTAAGCTTGGCCCTCCTGATGGTTTGCGGGACGCGGGGCGGGTGATTCGCTCGGCTATACATGACACGATGTACTAACTCGATATCTTCAGATTTATTTGTTTGAGATTTAATCTACACACGATGTAATCAAAATCGAATTTATTTCCATGTATTATAAAGTCAGTGTATTGTAAGTTTTTATGATTAATTGTAAAATTTAATACTGTAAAATAATTTTAATAAAATCACTTTATTTTCATCATGTAAATTATATTCAGATACAATTTCAAAATTAAGTAAAATAATAATAATTCTTCATTAGAACTTTAACAGTAGAACCTCTGTAAGCCAAACTTCAAGTTTTTAAATCTTTTTGTGACGCAGAGTCGGCAGATTATCCATGTTGCAAAATAATACCGTGTGTAGCAGTCTTAAGAAAAATAACACGTACAACCATGCTTTCACGTCAGTCACTGCCGGCGGACAGCGACGCACTAGCTAATTGGTTGAATGCACCCCCGCCCGCGTCCCCCAAACCATCAGGAGGGCCAAGCTTACGGCGGTTTAACTATAGCACCTTATAGTCCTTTTTATTGTTTTTCAAAGTATTCACCACGTAACTTAATACACTTTTCCATTCGCTCAAACCAGTTATAGGTATATTCCACTCTGAAGTGGGGGTGTTCAAAATGGCTGGCTTGAAAGCGTCGACTGTTTCTTCACCGGACTGGAACCTTTGACCACTAAGACTTTTCTTAATTTTAGGAAATGTAAAGAAATTGTTAGGGCTTAGGTCAGGACTGTATGGTCAAGAATTTCTACTTTTTCCTGCTTCAAATCTCGATCGTGTGACGAGCGTTATGTGAGCTTGCGTTATCATGGTGCAGGATGATGCGTCGATTTGAGTTAGATTTTCAAAGTTCGGCGAACAAAGAAACTGCGGTATACCACTCTGCGTTAACCGTTCTACGATCTTCAAGTGCAATAGTCGCAACATGGCCGGTTTTTCCAACGAACGTGGCCACCATCTTCTTTGAAGTGCTTCGAGAACGAACAACTTTAGTCGGCTTTGGCTCGTCTCGAAAGACCCAGATGGTAGATTGTTGTTTGGAATCAGGATCGTAGGCATACATCCAAGATTCGTCACCACTGATGATGTCGTAGACGTGATTTGACTCTCCTCGGTTGAACCTTTGCAGAATTTTCTTACACCATCTGACGCGGGCCGCCTTGTGTTCGTCGGAAAGCAGATGCGGTATGTAACGGCAAACTAGCTTTCTCACACCAAGCGCTTCATGCAAGATCTTCTGAATGGTTGTCCCTGAGATGCCTAATAGAGCCTCTATCTCTCGATACGTCACATGACGATCTTGGAGAATTAGTTGTCTCACAGCAATGATGTTATCTTCAGTGAAGGCTGATTTTGGGCGTAAATCTAAATACCAGCGTTCGACAGTCCGTAGACATGAGGCTTCATCACTGAACACAGATGTTAGCTCTTCAAAACACTGAAGCCGTGTCAGGCCTCTTCTAAAGTTGTAGAAAATTACTGCACGAACATTTTCCTTAGAAAGATTCCTTTTTGTACGTAACCTAACAGATTCTAATCGATGCTGTGACTAAACAATGGCATTAATCCTAATACTTTCAACTGTATTGAGATTCAAAATTTAAACACATTCAAATATAGAACAGTTCCAAATTCAAAATTGCCGGGAAATATGGAAACGACAAAACTTAAAAGGCATGCTTAGTATGCTGCCCTGAGTTTGGCCGTACTGGTACAGATGGTACAGGTTTTTCCTCTCTATGCGCCGTAGTTGCCATCTTAAGGCATGTGCTACGAGGATCTCTACTATTTTAGGCATCATATGGCACATCGTTTGGTTTTTATCCGTTCCAATCAGACACAATGCGTTGCACTACCGTAAAATCCCTGTTGAGTGAAAGCCTGAGGGGTTTCCATGAGCACAAAAAAAGGAACGTGACTGCAAACCTCGGTGGAGTGACGGCCCGAGGGGGTATCGACACGTAAAAAAAAGGTCAAGTCAGGTAAGAGTCGTCATAGGATTAAATGGTTAGATTGTATGGAATGTGGAGGACAGCGCACATCATCTAGTATCTAGTATCGACTAAAGTACATCTATTAAGATTGTGGTTCTGCGAGTAGTTCTGATACTTACAGCGGTAGATGGCGCTGGGAGTAACGCGTGACTGATTCTGGAGTATTCTTGTTTGTCTGGAACGTACTATCGAATACTAGGGAAAGCGGAGCGTATTGGCCGCTTGGCACAGTATCGTTCTATGACTCAGCGACTTAATATCGGAGTGAATTTCTAGTGCGACTAACGAGATATATAGTGATTTCTAGTTTATTACAGTGAGTAAATACAGTGCAATAAAGTAATTAACCGACAACTTTTTTACAATTAACAATATTATCTCAGGGGTCCCCTATGTGTACTTATAGAATTTAAGCAAATTATATCATGGTCAATGATATAACTTACTTAAATTCTGTTAATGGATTACTGTGTATTTGTTTATTTAATTTAATGTTTCTGTACCCTTGAAGTTGTGTACTTAATGTTGAAGAGTTACAAACATACAAACTCACATTAAAAATTTATAAAATGATTTATCATTATCACATAGTAAATATGTCAAAAATATAGGTTTTATAACACATAGAAGGCAGATAGGCGCACAACTATTTCATGGATATATGTACCTTGACGTCCCCTTATAAGTATTTCTGGTTGCCATAGTAGAGATGTGTGAGATGTGTGAACTTATTATTATTTAATTCTTCATCACAACTGTCCATTTATTAAAAATCTAAGTAGAGATACTTTGAAATCAAATCTTAATTAATACATTAAGTAAATGGTATTACTTGGTACAATCTTCAGGTAGGACACATTTGTGCGTCCTGTCATCTCGCACGTACGGATGTACACAGATACAGCCTGACTCGCAAAACGGGTAGCAGGGGCGCAGCCGATCCCGCGGGTTGTCGCACGTTACAGAAGCACAGCCAGCGAAACAGGCCTCGTACCTAAATGCGTAAAAAATGCATATGGTTTTGTTTCATTAAACAAATATATACTGTATGTTAAGTGTAATTTACTAAAGTTGTTTGTGAGTTTTTTCCCCCGTTAGGGATTAGGGGCTGGAACTTTTTGCAAAATTGTATGGTATCATCCCGCCAAGGGCTGTTACAAAAGATAATTAAATTTTATCATCCATACTATACTAGTGTAATCTGTGTAATATACGAGTATGTGTTAAAATATTACGTTCTGGTTGTAAATAAACCTTAGTAAATACCTTTCATGTGGTCTCTCGCAATTCATGTCTCTCTTTTTTTCAGAGTCTTTCTCCCTGGAATTAAAACATTTGTAAATAACTAACCATACAATTATACGTGTACATGGGTAATAAACATAGACTTACATGTAAGTAGGCGAATGGTTGTCTCTCTCGATGTTTTTCATATTTTGGGGCCCACTAATATCATTGTCATAAAGATTTCCACGAGTTCCAGCCCCCCTGTATGGGCTTGACATGTCGATATCTCTGTCTCTTTCTCTATCTCGATCTCTTGGTCTTTCAGGTAAATTGTATGTCTTCTGATCCTGTTCATCCATATATCTCTGGTTCTCATATTCATACCGCCATCTATCATAGTCTTTGTGGTCTTCTAATGGTTTAAGCAAGGCTTTCTTCCTCCAATTCCTTCTGTCATCTATAATGGAATGTCTTTTGTTTCCATCACCATCTTCATAGTCGTAACTGCCGGATCGAGTCGCGAGTGCGACGAAGTTATCTGTAATATAATTTGGATCTTTGCCATCATTGTTCTGATCATCAGTTCTAAGATCTATTAAAGCGAAACACTTACATAACAATAAAGCAACTATTAATATTTTTCGCATTTTGTTTAAATTCTTCTGGACACGTATTAATTAAATTGCATATTGTAGTACTCGAAATGGCGGATTGGTTTTGCTCCGTTTCACGCAACAATTCAGTAGGAACTGATCAGTTAAAGTTAAGCTTGGTATCGCAAAAAAATCTGTCGAGCGGATGTGATTGCTACAACGATTTTATCGATACTAATAAAAAATGCTGACCTTTCTAGCTATCAACAAGACTCTTCCTTTTTTAAATAATTTTACGTCTCGGTCTAAACGAATTGTTAGGTAGATAACGTATACGCATTGCACACGGATGTTGTATGAAAGGGATTATGTTCTTTTGTAGAGTTGGATCTGCTGAGTTGTATTTCTATCAAATGTCTGTGATAATCGTCACAATAGACTGTTTTAATTATATTATTGGTATATTCAATTCAAAGAACTGTCCTACTAAAGCTATTATTGGTATATTTGAAATATATCTGGTATGGACTCATTTTTTAAATTATAAATAAAAAATAAAATTTATAATTAAAAAAATGAGTCCATACCATAATTCAACTGATAATAAACAATAGCAACTAAAATTCGGTAAACGGAAAACACAACAATCTTATAATAAAAAGAACATAACAACAACATTTTTTAAATTAACTGAACGATAACTACACTTTATGATATTCTTGAACAATTTAGTAAAATCAACTTTAGATATTGAATTAAAGGTGTATTTAAAAGAAAGAAAAATTAAGGGAATGCATATGAATTTTAATATAAGCTTATTTTTATTTGACATACATGACACTTCTAAAATATAAAACAAATTATCATCTATGTAATTCTTTTAGCAGCTGTTCTATAGGCATCTCCTCCTATAAGTTTCCTTGGTTGAAGAGCTTTGATGGGAGGTGGAGCTATAACAATATTGAAATAGTTGCCCATTCTCGATACTTCAGAGCCACGTTTGAAGTCTTCCTTCTGGTTGACGGCAGCTATTGGGTTTACGTTGTTATTTCCTTGAAGCATATCATTCTCAGGGAAGTCTAGGGGCGAGTCGTCACGCTTGTGTGCTCTGGATACTCTACCTGGATATTTACCCAGCGGCAGAGGACCCTTATCTGCCCTTTTTACTGGTACCGGTATTCCCATTTGTGTGCTGAAATATAAAAAATATAAGGAATATGATAGTAGTAATGTATAAATAAGTATGTGATGAATAATCTTTTTCAAATTCAAATCTGTTCTTTAATTTGGGGTTTAAAACCTGGGTGGTAAGGTATCGCATCTATATTCTGCTTGTCCAAACAAGCAGAATATAGAAGTGGTGTGGATGTGAATGAATTAGATATCACAATACTATTTTGTTTGTCTGTTTGCTCTTATTATATTATGCCTATTCCATTTATTTGTTAAATCGGTCGGCGATTTAAATTTGTTATTAAAGTTTCTTATGAGTCCCTAAAATAAAACAGGTGCGCTTCTTATTTCGCTCTAATTTAGTTCGAAACTTCTGGTTTGTTAATACAGTAAGAATGCAATAACGACACACGGCTGCTAAGCCTTGTATTCTATGTTGATATCAAATTTAGCTTGTATTGACTTATTTCTTAATAAATCTTTAGGCCTTGCGTTGTTAGATTTGGACGTACGGTGAGCAATCCTGAGGTAACACGCACTGGTGAGTGCGATCATCCCGTACGTAAGGGTCTTCACAGATACATCCCGGCTCGCAGTACGGGTAACAGGGACGAAGGTGGTTCCGTGGATTGTCGCATGATACCTCTGCACATCCCCCGAAACAAGGCTCGTATACCTCATTCGGCCAATAGCATGCTGGAAATATTTAATATAATTATTATTTCTTGCCCTAAAGCTTTCAAAACTTGATCATATAAAAAAGAGGATATGTGGTTGTTTTCATTATAAAAGGAAATTCTAAATTATTTAAATGAAAATGATTTAATGACTCAGTTTTAGTCAGAACCAAAAGCCAGTTGCACTTAATCTACAAACTTAAACAATGTTTAAGGTTAAGCTTCATGGGTAAGATTGAAATAACTGTATTGCACACCTCGTGCAAGACCACTGGTTTACATTGAAGTATTACGAGTATAACTATCTCAATGAAACATACAAAAATACTAGTTTCTATATATTTTCACAAATTTATGCCAACTTAAAAGCAAGGGCTTAGAATCACCAAAATACATTTTACACTCAACGAGTGTGCAATTTCTCACATCGGCACATTATTGGGTATCTGAGGGCACTAAATCTAGTTGCGGACTAGACTTTTCCTTTTATAGTCGTTTCCACAGGTCCATTACCGGTCCCACGGGTGCTACTAGATATCCCCAGACACGTAGTACTACTTATAAAACTAAGTTTTGCTTACATGAGATAAAATCGAGTGTTTCTGCTTTTTAAGTTCCACTAGTAACTTTATTAGGATTGTTTTAAAGGGATTTGCTTCAATGTGAATAAAACATATTTTGGTTATCGGTTTATTGTTCAGTTTGGGACGGATGAGACCAATCTAATGAACGTTGGCGTCACTATCTGTCGTTCGGTATTTATTTCCACTTTTTATCCATTTAGGATATGAGTTTTGGGTAGAGAGCTGCGTACTGTCTTTTAAAATCTGATAATGCTTAGACTTTAAAATATTCATCATCATCATCAATCATCAACAGCCTATACTAGTCCACTGCTGGACATATGCCTCTCCTTAGAAAGGAGGTTTTGGCCTACTACACCACGCTGGCCAGACGGGTTGGTATAGGGTTTGTTTCCTCAATCGTGGTCAACTCGGTCCTCGTACCGGTTCGGGCCCAGATGAAATATCTGGGCCTGATCCTCGACGGGAGGTGGCTCTTCGACGAGCACTTCCGACAGCTTGCTCCAAAGCTGGTCGGCGCTGCGTCTGTACTAGGGCGACTTTTGCCCAATATGGGTGGACCCAGCGTCGCGACAAGACGGCTGTACACGGGGGTTGTCCGGTCAATGGCACTGTACGGTGCACCGGTGTGGGCGGCGGCTCTGACCGCCCAGAATAGGGTACGCCTCTGGCGCCCTCAGAGGGTAATGGCGGTCAGAGCCATACGCGGTTACCGCACCGTTTCGACGGAGGTGGCATGCGCGTTGGCCGGAACTCCCCCGTGGGATTTGGCGGCGGAAGTGCTGGCCGAAGTTTATCGGCGAGTGGCTGACTCCCGGGCGGAGAGCGGATTTCGCCCTCCGCCCGAGGATGTGCGCGAGTGGCGCGAAGCCGCTCGCCGAGCCACGATGGCTCGTTGGTCGTTCCGGCTGGAGACTCCACGCGCTGGCTTCGCCGCCTTTGAGGCTCTCCAGCCGGTCATCGCCGAGTGGGCAGGGCGGCAGCACGGGACCCTTTCCTTCCGGCTGACGCAGGTGCTTTCCGGGCACGGTTGCTTCGGAAAGTACCTGCACTCGGTCGCTAGGAGGGAACTGAGTCCCGCCTGCCACCACTGCGACTGCAGTGAGGACTCGGCCCAGCACACGCTGGCGGTCTGCCCCGCATGGGCGGCGCAGCGCCGGGCCCTCACTGCAGTCATCGGAGTGGATCTCTCGCTACCGGCCGTAGTACGCTCCATGGCCGGTAGCGACAGTTGTTTTACCGCGGTCGCAACTTCTGCGAGGTAGTAATCTCGCGGAAGGAGGCGGCGGAGAGGGCCCGGGAGGACGACCTCCACTCGGACCCGATCCGCCGCCGGCGAACCGGGCGGCGGAGGCCCGCCTATCACAGCCTCATGCCGCCCTGAGTGTGGCCGCGGGTGGACGGGGTGGGTTTCCCCTCCACCCGCATTAGTTTGGCCAGCCGCGAGGGGGCGGCGTCCGCGTGTGCCGGACGTCGCCTAAAGAGAGGAACAACATTGAGACGGAGCCCGCACCAGGAGCGGGCTGGCGCTAGGAGGGGTCCGGATGTCTTAACAACAGCTGTTCCCGGATCCCTCCTGTTACAGGCGCAGAGTGGCACACCGTGTGGTTTTAGTCGGTCCGAGTCCGACACACCACCCCGCCGCAAACCCCGGAGGGGTGACGGTCCGAGGGGATTTCCACACGTTAAAAAAAAAAAAAAAGAAAAAGGGTTTGTTTCAAGTTTTCCTTCTCTTTGCAGTGCTGTTGTCCTGCTTAGTTTGCTCCCTTAGTCGTCTCTTACGACAACCACGGGATGAATTGGGGTGGTGACAATTTGTATTCTTAATCCGTCACAACACGGATGTAAAATATTCAACAATCTTCATTCTCAATTAATTAGCAGAAAAAGTTACCTTTTGAAATTTTATCTTCATCTCTGCACATATGATGCTGCATGTTAAACAAAGTTATAATTAAAAACGCCAAATGTTTCATTCTGGAAATTAGTACGATGGCACGACTGTTTAAACCAGTAAACATGCAGTGACTATCGGCGATTGTTTTCGAATGTTTTTCCTCTGGTTTTTTGTTTGTTCGTGTTTTCGTGTCGGGGAGTGGTTTCAGTTATAATTAATATATTGTAAGGGTACCTCGGCGTTGAGACAAAGCATCAATGATACATGATAAGGGTGGGTCGGTAAACATGGAGAGAGCCGGTTAAGCCATGTTTGATTGAATTATTGCTTGCGTTGTAATTTTGGAGATAGCGTCAGGTCACGTACGGCCGATATCATGAATATTATGTACTCATAACTACGTTTTAGAATATGATACCTACCTATTTTAGATGGAAACATTAATATACCAAAATTAATGGTAATTGTGGAGATTTTTTTGACGCTTGTACGTAAATAGCTTAATTTACTTAGTAACTTATTTTAAATTATAATTTGTATTTAAGCATTAAGTCTATAACTATATCTATATGGTAAGTGTATATTATGTATTAAGAGTATGTAGGAAAAAAACAGATGAATGCTCATATTTTGTAAAACATAAAAAATAGTTTTTTGGGGGTTTTGAGACATAAAAGTGTTTTTAGTTGTCCTCTGAGCTGCGCTGTTTACAATTAATTCTTTACGAGGAGTGAAACAGTGAGGTCAAAGTATCTGCTTTTCTTGGGAGCACTGATTACAACAACAATTGATTGAAGTGAAACTTTGCACGATTTTATTTTGATACCATCAAATATTTTTGGTGTGGTGATGGATTAAGAATACAGAGTGTCACCACCCCTATTCATCACGTGGGTACCGTAAAGGCCGACTAAGGCAGCAGGACAACTGAACAGCACTGCAAAGAGAAGGAAAACTTGACACAAACCCTATATCAAACCGTTGGGCCAGCGTGGTATCGTAGCCCAAAAACCTCCTTTCTAATAAGTGGCATAGGCTTCTATCCCATCAACAGCCTTAAATAGTCCACTGCTGGATGTAGGTCCAGTCACATCACATCAACATCCTATCAACAGACTATTAAAGGCTGTTGATGTGATGTGACTCAAATATGACTTTACTAAGAGCCCGTCCATGTTGTCTTTGTTTTTACTGAGGTATAAATTAATTTAAAGTCTTACTTATAACTCATAGCAGGCTTTTGTTTGCGTATGCTACTGGGCTCCTTGTATCAAATTCCATGGGAATTGAGATCGGCAACTTGTGCAGTAGGCTAAAAATGTATTCTTTAAATGTAGATTAGGGTCATAGAGACATGAAGGTTTGAATGTAAGTTACATCTTAATGATTAATGAAAAGGATATTATCTCGTAACGCTTCGACTTCTAGCTTAGTTGGTTATTTATACGCGAGTAAGCTAAAAATGATTGCACCAAACATGTAACGTGTTACATATTTCTATGCCAAGTCATATTTAATTACTTCTTTCTAGACGAGTATATATTAAGGATCTATAACCATTTTATAAGTTTAGAGTTTTGAGTTAAAGATCACATCAGTGCTCAACACGTTTAATTTAGCTTATTTTCAAATAACGCTCAGTCTTTGGTCTAAACATGACTTTCATCTTAATATTTTAATACATAGATTAATACCTAATAACATTTTTTATGATAACCCTGATGAATACTAACCAATATACGGAGTGTAGTAGGAAACTATATGTAAAATTATCTGCCAAGTAAGTTTTACCAAAAGAACACTGGTTTTAAAGTAGAAATGTTGTGTTGTTAGAAAGAATATTAGTACTAAGGACCCCAAAAGTATTTAGAAGTGTAATAAGGTGTTTAGTAGTTCGAATCTATCTAATGTATTGGTGGGAGAGACATGCTTTCACACGTCCAAGTCGTCATGTCTCACAGGAAACCGGTTTTAAGCAATTCTTTCGTTACTTTTCAGCGAATGAGTGCAGCTAACACATCTTCTCCAATGATTTTTTTTAGAGATTATTTCTGGGATTATAATCCAGATCTTATCCTATCGTATGTTCTTTCCCGGGACTCAAACTATCTCTGTACCAAATATCATCTAAATCGGTTCAGCGGTTTAAGCGTGAAGAGGTAACAGACAGACAGACACATTTTCGCATTTATAATATTAGTATGAATATAAAAAACTTGCATTATGCTTGCACTACTTTTACTAACTTTTGTTTAAATTAACGCAATTTACTTTTATACATATTTGTAATGTTTTAAATCAGATTTCTTTTCAACATAAATAACAACAGTATGTTCTGCGTTACTGCACTGAACCAGTAACAAGTGTTTTCGATTGCGTAATAAATTTGTCATCCGCAATGTGTGAAAGGATCAAGCAGCAACACAGGTGTATATTACCTCCTTTTACAAAGACCTTTGCGAAACAATGCGTCGTATTTTTGCTCAATCACACTAGCGAACCAGTCCCTTATTCCTTCCTTATGAACATAATATTGGTATTATGTGAAAGATGTCCTAAAACGACGAATATTTGAACAAAGGAGACAAAGGCAGACCACAGACAATAAATAGTACAAGGAACAGACGATAAATTGGGATTTCGATCTCTTTGGTTGGCCACACTATACGTAGCTAAAATGTTGTTGATGCACGTGACTTGACAAGTGGTACATAATTGCCGGTAGTGGCCATAATATCTTATATTAATTTTTCGGAGAGAGAGAACAGTATAATATAATGACTGCCACATTATTAATACTGTTGCGATTCTTGAAAAAATGACATCCTATGTTTCACGAAAGTTGGCAGTTATTAATGTTTGCAATCACAGCGACTCATAATATGTTTTATTATCATGTTGTATTACATTATAGTAGTATAATTTGAACTTGGAGTTGGTAACCAGGTATAACTTTTAGATAAAAATAAAAATACTAACTAACCACTAACTAACTAACCACTCCATGGGGGGAGGGGGAGGGGTTTTAATATCCGGGGGTTTCCAGCAAAAGAAAAGGTAGGTGTGTATTTCAGAAGTTACTTGAATCTGGTACAGCAGCTAGCTCATTAACTATTGCCTTTAAGTAAACCAATTTTCATGTTTACCCGAGAAGAATAAATCATCTAAAAACCGCTGGTATAATGAATGGAATTTACTGGCAGCCTGTCACTAAGAGACACATACTTTAAAAAGGTTCTTCTAAACATATAGGTCTCTCTAACTTTGTAATGAATTATTTCTTAAATGCCTGGTTGACTTCTTAGGTAAACTGTGATATTTTGTATTTCTAATAAACTTTAAGTGTCCGCAGGCTTTGTAAAACTAAAACTTAAGCCAAGAAAAATATATTAATGCCGTTTATTCACTCCTGGCTATATCAATCCCAATCCTTTGGATCCCTTAACGAACCATATCAGCACCAACACGAGAGATTAACACTAGTCACTGAATAGTTTAACTATACACTGCCCTTTCTTTTTTTTTTTACGTGTGGAAATCCCCTCGAACCGTCACCCCGCCGGGGTTCTCTATTCGGCGGGGCGGTGTGTCGGACTCGAACCGACTAAAACCACACGGTGTGCCCTCTTTGCCTTTCTATTTTAGAGGGGGTCCAGGTAGTTATCGCCTTCTGGACCCCTCCACTATACAATGCCTAACTCAACCAGATAAGCTTTATGATTCTAAGATTTATTTCAATTCCATAGTTAAGTGAAGTAAGACTTATTAGTATATCAGCAAAAAAAGAAGAAATAATAGCATGACCGATGAATCACTTCTGGAAGCTATTCACAACTTTTTGACCCGCTGTAACTTCATTGAAGATAAAACTTTTTTTTTTTTAAAGGCAACTCCCGCATTAGGAATATATATATCCTGTGTGATTGCATAAACATACATAAAACAGACAAAAAGAACTCCCGGTCTCAGAACAACAATTTATGGATCACACAAAGTGGTGTCCCATGTGGGGATCGAACCTTCAACGCAGTAGGAAGCGGCGTGGCAACCCCTTAAACCACTACGCCATCCGTGATTAAAGTAACTGGGCTCAGGAGATCATATTTTACCTAGATTTATTAGCATATTAGGTTTAATTTGAATTTCAAAAACAATTGAAATAAATATCGATTGGGATCTTAATAAAGTTACAGTTGGATCTTACAATGTGTTGCAATAGAAGACACAAGTCGTAAAAGCTAATTGTTCTAAGTGAAAGATTTAATTGTGAGACTTGCATTTTTACATATATAATTATGTTTTTAATGGAGTTAGTCAATTTAAATAATAAAAAACTCACGACTCCAACGAAGCCATTACGAACATTGTCTATTTTTTGGATTTATCGAGGACCCACGGCTGAATAACTTTTGAAATTTCAGCAAACCATTTTATTTGGGTTTACAAATAAAAACAACAAATGACTGGTTTTGTGGTCATCGTCGTTTCGCTTTTTAACTAGTTTAAAAATCAGGTTATTAATTCGTCGTAATAAACGAGTACATAAATGTATATACCATCTGTATAAATCAGGTCATCAAGTCTGCATCAGTTCCACTTCACAGTTTGATCCACCACAATGCATGGTGAAACGTAACTGAAATTTAAAAAAAATGGATGAGATTCTTACTTTGAACTGTGTTAAGCGATATCTTTGCCAACTGTAAACTGATTTTGAGTAATTCTTGTTTTTTATAAATTTTTGATAGCCAAGGTTGGTTCCATCAACTTTGAAGAAACTATTAAGACTTAAGAAAGAAAGTGAAGATGGTGCTTATTTGAATGTGAGTGAGAGTGTCTTATTTGTTAGATAGAATTTTTACAGATTTTCAAGGCAAAATGATCTGGTGTAGTTCGTTTGCTAGCTAAAAAGCACATTTTGTGACCTACGCTGAGAATTTAAGAATGTATGAAACCGCTAACGTAATTCAGATAATCTAAAATTTTAATTAGTATAAAATGTAAATAATTTTAGGATACTTAAACTTTGATTATAAATTA